TTACTGCATGGGTATATATATTTTATAGCTTACTGTTAATAACAGTCAAGTAGGTACTCCCAGTTAGTTGACAGCCATGTAACACTTGGGTTGCAGAATGCTCATTGTGTGAGGCGTGCTCTACACTGCCTCTGCTCATGCATATGTCAACAGTAGAAGAATTATATTGTCCCTTACATAGAGTGGTTCAGCAACCTCTATATTACTTATATGTCATTGTTGATGTACTATTTACAGGTTATAGTTTGGAGGTCAGGAATAATGCAGGCAACATAAAACATGTTGCAGGCACAGCTTCTGGCACGTTTCCACTGGATATTACAAAACTATTTTCATTAAGGTTGATCAAGAGAAGCTCATGGGCACAAGCTACTTAGCTAACCCTGTGCTCCTATGACATGTGCTAAGTATTGTGATTTATCTATCTGTAATATGGTATGTTCTGCCGTCTTAGACGCTATGTCTCGTGGACTGAAAACTTCTCATGTGCTTTATTGCTCATGTAAAATATATGTAATATTTGAACATATCACATAAACTCGGCTTTGGCTATGTATAATATGCTATATGTTCCACCATCTCGGCCTAGCTATTATTCATGTCAGCTATGCTGAAACCTGTATTATTCATGTGTATTATGACATGTAAGATATTTGCAATAATATTCAATATCTATGCATCCGGTTTAGAGTTTTTGATTTGAGGATCAACCTTATATTCCTTACTCTATTGATCACATGTGTTCTGTCATTATCTATCTCAAGGTTCCATTTGACAAATAAAACTGCAAAAGTTATCATGGCCATAAACTCTTTTATGTAGCATCGTGTACAATCTGGACGCTTATCCACATGAGGATTGCGTCCTATCTGTATGTATTATTGGCACATCCTATGTAGGACGAACTAATCTCTCGTGTCGAGTAACTGATGGCTAGATATCTTTCAGTCTATTACTACAACATTATGATCACATTTGTTCTTAGGTCCGTTCTGATTCAGTGATCGTAGGCACTACCGGCCAATGCCCCCGCGCGCATGGGCACGTGCAAAAAGACTAGTGGAAGAGAAGTCAGCAATGCCTGTTTGGCCATGCAGGGCAGCCGCGTCACGTGGGAGAGGAGATTTGCGTGGTTCACTGGAAGTCTTTGAACTTTCCTTTTTTTTCTCTCTCCTTTCATCTCAGACTGAAATTAGTCTGTGAATGAATTGAGTTATTTGTGTTTTTTTGTGTAAAAAAAAGGAGAGGGAGAAATGGAAGGCGGTGCCGGCGGGAGTTAGCCTAACTCAATTGTAGCCCAAGTTTACACCAACTATGGGCTGATTTTTTAACTACAGTTCGCATGCAGAGAGAACACTTTGGGCCTCTATTTCCCGGAACAAATTTGGTGTAAACTTTTACGGTGCCTTTTGCGGTGCCTTGTGATTTCATGTTAAGAACGAATCAACAATCATCCCTTTTGCGGTGCCTTGTGATTTCATGTACTTGACCTCGACTCCTTGATGCTAATCCTTAGCAGCCATGTTCCTAAAAGGGAATGGGAACTTGGAATCAGAACGGGAACTTGGTATGTCATTTTATAATGTGGGAACATAAATGTTCTCGAATCGAGGACGTGGACGTTCCCTGAACCACATTCTCGGAATGAGGAAAGTGGCCATATTCCACGTTTCTAGCTGCTAGGTGCTACTCCCTCAGTCCCTAAACAAGTGTTATTCTCGCTTTCTGATAAATCAAACTCTTTCAAATTTGACCAAATATATACAAGAAAATATAATATTTATACTACATAATTAGTATCGTTTGATACATCTTTGAATCTATTTCCATAATAAGCTTATTTGGATATACAAATATTATTAATATTTTCTACAAATCTAGTTAAACTTAAGAAAGTTTGACCGGCATGAATACCATAACAAGCTTATTTGGATATACAAATATTGTTAATATTTTCTACAAACCTAGTTAAACTTAAGAAAGTTTGACCAGCACGGATACCATAGCGACATTTATTTAGGGACAGAGGGAGTATGTCTAAATATTATAGAATACTCATTATCTGTGAATCCCTCAAAACAAAATGTATTACATTGGGAGTGAAAGAACCAATTAGGGATTCAAAAGCCACTGAAAACAGGAATAGAACAAGAAAGGACAAAAACTTTTGGACCTTTTCAATTGAACATATGGTTTCTTTCAGACCTTTTCAATTGAACATATGGTTTTCTTAAACAACCGATCGATGATGTCTGGTAAACTGATCCCACTTAACCTAATGATGGCATATGCTCTTTATATACACTTGACTATGACACGGTAATATGGTACGTGTGGTATCCAGCTGCACGACTCAGCCTAGACAAAGATTGCTAAGTTGACTGTTTTATCAAACATAAAACGGATTTCATCATGACACCGAACATCAAGCCACGTTACAAACAAACTCTACTCCTATAGGCACAGAAATCTATCGCATACAACCCAAAATCAAAGTCATCAAGACACTGGATGCCACAACAAAAAGGAGTCGTTGATAGTACCTAAAAGGAGGCTGGATTACAAGGGTCTTCATGTCTCCAATGATTGTCTTTGGACTGGTTCGAATTGTACGAAGAAAAGATATCTAAGAATATTTCAACAACGTTAAAGGGACTAGAGGTTGAGGTAATTAAACTCAGCATTCAGTTATGTAATTTAGTCAGCGGTGGATCCATCCTTTGAATTTATTGCACTACAAATCATATTGTGACTTTATTTATTTATTGCACTTTTTAGGGTTGTTTGGATGCACTCACACTGACCTCAAGACATTTGTTTGAGTGGATTGTGGTGGAAAGAGAGAGAGAGAGGGAGATAAGAATAGAGGTTTTGGTGTGAGTGGGGGCCAACCAAACTCTTGCCCCATAGGCTCTATTTATATGAGAGGTGGAAGGAGGCTATCTTCCTTCCCACCCGTTTTGGTTTTACAAATTACATGGGAGGTCATTGGACCTCTTGGGACTTGGGCCTTTTTACATGGAAGGGGGTAGGCATACCCGCTCTTACCCTAACAGTAGCCCCTTAGCCACTAGGTCTTGGCGGGTACAACAGGACCTAGTTGCTACAACATAGGAAAAAGGCCCAAAATACAATTCTCTAGCTATGAGGGACTCCCTCATGACCGCCTCTACATGCGCCTCACTAAAAACTTTATCACAAAACCCAATGGGACAAAAGGGCATGGATAAAAGAGCATGCACACAACACAGAGATAACCATACAAAACCTAAACCTTGATTCGATGTTTGCCCTGGGCTTCAGTATGTACCCTCGGCATGTAGGAAATGCTTCGACAATGAAGGTTGAAGGGCATGACCTGATGATCATGGCTTTTTGTTCACGGAGGTCGACAATCTCACTCTTGCTTGTTTCAGCCGCTACAAGGGTTTCTCCTCGCTGGAGGTAGCTCTTTGTAGCCGAAGTAGTGGTAGTAGTCGTACTAGCTGTCATAGTCGTCATCAAAGGTGGATTGGACTAGGAATTGTCGTTGGATATCGATGATGACACATCTATCGAGGTGCACATAGGTGGAGCAGTTGTCCTAGTCGACAAGGCTTGCGTCCTTTAGCTCGTGAGTATCAGGAAAGGCGTTTCAATGCACCCTTCTTAGTCCCTCTTGGCTAGTGCTTATGAGCGCGTAAAGGTTTAAGGTGCCTCATCGATAAAAGGTGTTGGTGATGCAGCTTGGGAGGGTTCTTCGAGCTTGTAGACATTGCTGAAGTCAAGGGCGAGTTGTTTGGACCAAGGAGAAGCTATTTGCCAAATGTTTTTCAAAGGGGCTTCGGTTTCTTCACATGAGACACAGCTAGAGTTAGAGTTGTTTTTAGAGGAGCTAGAGCATTGTCAAACAGGCCCTCAAAATGGAGGACCTAGGGACCTCGAAATATGTTAATTCCTTAGGTTACTAAAAATCAAGGATGGCCCATTTTGCTTGGACTGGTAGCATGCCCTTTTGTAAACTTGAAACTAAAATTCTTCATGGGATGTTATTATATTTGAGTTTTTAAAACATTTCTTTGTTATTCCAAAACGAAGGACCTAGGGATCTCCAAAAATCTTGTGATTTTTCAAGTAGATGCTAAAAACCAAGCATGACCCATTTTTCTTAAATTGGGCATTACAACCTTTTGTTTTGAAATTAAAATTTCTTTCCGTAATGCTATATTTGAGTTTCTGATTAAGACACTTGCCATCAAAATGGTTTCAAAAAATCCAAAAAAAATCATCTAAATTCTTGGTTTGGAAAGCAGTATTCTGCATGTAATTTCTAGCTTATTGTGCTCAAGTGAAATATAAAGTCTCTTAACAAAGCACATGCTCAAAATTACATTTACCATTTGCCAAGAATGCTCGCTGCTGGGCCAGTGTGGGCCGACACAGCCGGTAGGCAGTAGGCCCAGTACTAGAACATTCGCCGAGACGCAGAGCACAGGTGTAGATCTTGAGATTATTTCAGACGCGAGCACGACGTAACAATCATGGACTTTGTTTCCAAACTTGGTGTATAGAAATTCAAAAAAAAAAAAACTTGGCGTACATGATAGTGTTAACTGGTCGGTCTCAGGCAAAGAAACCACTCGATTTTGTGCATCATCGCCTGTCGTAGACTTAAAGCGCCATGCCAAAGGTACAGACATGTATGCACGTTTGGATTGATTGGTGATGACCTTGGTCTGCCCATTAATGGCAACTTAGCATGAAGGAGCAGTACGTTCATGTACTTATATTACATGCAGAAGGTAGAGCAGTCAGTGGCACGCTGCGTGTGCCCTTTGCCGCATTACGTCCATCGGTCCATGTCTATGCGACTATGCCCCCGTTTAGATCACAGAGCTAATTGTGTTGCAAATAATCAGCCCCTCTCAATACAACGGTCCAGCCAGTATCTAGCTAATTCAACTTGCAGGCGGGCTCGTTCGCGGCCAGCCGCTAACCCGCCTCGCTTGCCGCAAAATTTATTAGCGGGCTTGCGGCTTGCCACAAAGCTGCGAATCTTGCGGACAAGTATTCCGCGGACACAACAAACGTGTATGCAAAACCCGCAAGACCCGCAAGACAACAAACTCAATGAGCTGCCCAATAGTCATACGGGATGGAATAGCATGTGGATTCACAATAATATCGGGCGTGATGCCTTCGATTGTCCATGACATATCCTCTTGAGTGTAAGTCATCCCAACAGTTTCTTTTTGGCCATGCCTACTGCTAAACTTGTCTCCAATTTGTGGTATGCGAACAGATCGCATCCTAACCTTGACAAATCTTAGACCATCCGCATTTGTTGTTAACAGAACCTATACAGAATACCGCAGCCTTAGTAGCTTGTTGGTGAAGTTCCAAGCCCATCACAAACCACCTATTGATATAGGAAGGTGAGAAACTACGAACCTGATCTACCATGCCGCTTTCACTGTGACGTAGAGAAGTACTATGGTCACGCTTCGAGTATCTAGAAGCTTGCCCTTGAGCGTCATCCTGTGGAATAGGAGATGTCTTCCCAATAATGGCATCTTCCCCCGAGACCCTTGTTCCCTGATACATTACATGAATTAAACATATGCAATCAGCATTACCCCTGATAAAGATAAATCTGCACAGATGAAGTCCTCTACTCACAGGTGGTGCAAGGCCATCATCATCTAGTTTATCATATGACCCATGGCGCATTCCCTACAGGAAAAGTTATTAGAATATTAGCCTCGTGAGAAGAAAAAGAAAACTGTAATACAATTTTGAAAACACACCATAGTATTTTCCCTATTTGGACGACCAAATTCCTCTTTAACAAGTGTACCCATCTTCTTTTCCTCATCTCTGCATATATGAAGTTTAAATCATCGGACTAAAAGCGGTTTAAGCACTAGACTACTTCATGGAAGCCCGACTTACAATTTGCGCTATACCTGTAAGAGCGGAAAAATAGTGATCGGAAGAACCCACGGTCTATGGAAGATTGATTCATAATAACTGAATATTCTTGATTATATCTAGAATAACAAGCGATAGCAACAATTGCATTCTGCACCCAAATCACCAAAATAATATTGATAATCAATGGACGAGAGCAGAAAGGAAATATGACATGTAGAAAGCACCACGAAGTTAAGGGCAAATTGCTCACTCACAATGCCGGTTGGTAAGCTATCTTCGAAGTGCAGATGTTCCATAGCACGCAGTAGTAACTAGAGGCTTTTGTGGGTAGTATAGAACATAGGCCAACGTGTCCGGATCATGATGGCAGATTGATAAGGTTCAGACCTATATCAACATGTGAAGAAAATCAAACAAATAGTGTACTCACCATCCTTAAGCGGTAATTGGTGACATAAATTCCCATGGCTTGCTTTCCCATAGCAGACTGATATGTAGTACGAGGTGATTTGCATTATCAATGGGAAGAATTAGACCTTGTCGGGGGAAATATTATACAAGCTGAAACCCCAGCAGAAGTGAATGGTTTACCTAGTTGTGGTCAGGAAAAGGAATAATCGACGCACAAACACCAAGTATCAATGAAGGATGAATCTCACAATGTGTGTAAGTTTCAGAGTAAGCATCCTCCGGGTTGTGCCTTGCATTTTGAAGGTCCTGAAATTGTTTCATTGGCATCAGTGAAGTGAAGGTGAATATATAGAAGGAAAAAAGGCAAAGCTATCTTTGGGATTCCATGGAATATCCGAGCGGTATAGACAAAATCCTTTCATACACAAGGGCCTCGAGAATATGTTCAATCGGTACACATGCATATCCCACTTACACTTATGGTCATGGAGATCATGGTAGTCTCCTCTTCTTGATATCTATGTATTCTATAAATCCTTTTGAGACCAATTCATGCCAGCCTTCATTAGGAGTCTCCTGGATAAGTGGACAAAAGGATAGAAGAAGCTTATAAGAAAAATTATGCACATGTAAAGTTAAGTGGAAGCCAGCACATGTTGATCAATGTCAGACCCTTTGTTGCAAAGCTCGGATATGCGCCTTCTTGATGAGCAGCCTCGACCCTCAACAATAAACAATGGACGCATTGCAGCGTCCATAATCCGTGTAGAGTCGAAGTTCTTTAAGGCGATATCACGAACCACGCCAACTTCAGTGTTGACATCAATCGAAAATGAAAACCAAGCAAATTTGAGATCTTAAGGCCCACTGAACTGCACCCTTAAATAATATGCAATGTTACCTGTCTATGTATAACCTACCAAAGTAAATGAAAATTCCAGTAGATACTTGTGTCATGAAAAAAAGTTTGGATTGCATATCGAACAGAACACCATTGTTAAAAACAATTACCTCAATCAGTCATATATATATATATAAGTCAGAAGTAGTGCCTTAAAAACAATTACCTCATATATACATAAGGCGATTAAGCACCTTTGTAAGAAAGATTTATGGAACATAGATCAACAAATTTTTCATTGAATAAGTCAGAAGTAATGCCTTAAAAATGAGCATAGAAGCGAAGAAAAATAGGCACCTGAGAAACCCCTGCTCTGGTTCCAGCTTGGTTAGCCTGTCCCCAGTTTCCAGTAGCAAGAGAGTACTTCAAGCCACTGGTAATAGTTTTTGCTTTGATAGCAAATTGGAAATTAACTTCCTTTCCGTTATCTACACACTAGGATGAAGGAAAATGAAGAGTTAATAACCACAAGGATCGAATGGGCGGGGAAAATAGAATGTCATAGTTTAGACAGCAAAAAACCTTTTGCACATAAGATCTCACATCCCTTGTTAGCTTCCTGAAAAGCTATAGTTGCAGACGAAAAACAAAATCAGGCAATTAATCTAGAAAAAGGGATTAACATCATTTAATATTCTGGTATATTTAGGCAAACCATTCTAAACAGCCCTCCAAGCGGTGGACCAAACAAGATCTAGTCTTTTATTTCCATAATGATCTCGGTCATCCTCGACTCTTCGACCAAGAGCGCACATCGATGGCGGTGAATAATATACCTGCAAAACAAAGGGTAAATCAACCTCGCTACTTTCAATAGAAATTTAATATTTGCAGATGCCGCCACAACTCCACAAGGCTTGATAAGGAGCACATACCCAAAATAGTATGCCTTCTTAGTTTCACAGAATTCCCCAACACCAACATGAGGCAACATTTCCTTTTGAAGTATTTCCTTTGCATATCTGAAATAGAAAAAGATGTAAGCATGAGTGGAACAACTCAAACCAAGTGATGTAATGTCAACTCTTTGCTTGACATACTTAATTCTCTTTTCTCGAGTGACACCAACTGTTGCGCCACGTTTTCCAATGTAGTCCCGAGCAACCTATGAGCAGTCAAACTAGAGCTTTTAAGAGAAGAAACATAAGCCAGAGCTCAGCTCAAAATGTGCCACAAGTAACAACCAAATAAAACAGCATGCTCAAAGCAAGCATTGGTTGAAGTAAAGAACAAGTTCCACCAATCAACCAGCTGAAGAAGTACCTGTTGATTTTGAATGACAAAAGCTTCCTCCAGGGAGGGGCGTAGCAATTCCATCATTTGTGTATTAGAAAAGTCATAACATATATGCTCCAGTATATCCTTGTCATTTAAGCGTAAAGAAAACAAAATGCACCTGCAATTGTGCATGAAATCATTAAAGAAGAGTCGGGCGAAACTCTTCTGCACAAGCTACACAAGTTCATGAAATCATTGTTGTAACATGAGTCCTCGCCCCCATGTGTAACATGATGTAGCTTCTACATCCACATCACTAACCAAAGTCCTGCTAAACTTATGATGACAAGAACAAGATCTGAAAAAGGAGCCATGCCCCCACTGCAATAATCCAGGACCAAATATTTAAGAATTCCAAAAGACAGTAACATAAATAAAGTTGAAATGCTAAACTGAAAGGAGTTCTGTATCTACAAAGACAAAAAAATGTCATTTTCTTCTCCAGTTCTCCCTGTCTTGCACCCCTTCTTTGCCACCCTTCTTTGCTCAACCTGACACCTCCTTTCCTCAAATATTGTCACCATCGCCAATGTTATCTTCTGATAATTTAACATCTGATAAACCTGAAACAAGAGCGAGTAATGAGTTATAAGGTGTCGTTATTGCTCAAACAACAATACTCAAACTAACAATATGCTACTTTGTACAATTCAAAGAAAATGTACCTTCTTCTCTCAACCAATCCTATAGGCATACTAAGGCTTGAACTTTCTTGCTTGTTAGTAAAAACCACGTAGTCACTAACAATTCTTCCACTAGTGGAAAATCTGATTCGAAGGTTACAATGATCGATCTGGTGTTTGCAAACACATCCCTTGCCATACGAGAAACCACAGGATACTTTGTAGAATGCATCATCCACCACCGCAGAATATCAAATTTCTTTTGTCGAGGGAAAAGATCATCTTGCGAGATATGTGTCAAGCTCACTTTTCACTCTCTTCCTTTTTGTCTTTGCAAGATGTTGTTCAAAGTCTACCCAGCAGTTATCTTCATCAATACTTCCATCATTGGGCTCTGGTTGTGAGTAGTTTAAATCAGGTGCCATTGATGAATATGCAGAAAACAGATTTTGCAATGTGGCCTTTACCATTTCAGTGTATGCTGGACCTTTATCACCAAAATCAGCGTCCAAACGAAATGATACAAAACTGATCTTAAACCTAGGATCTAGAACTACTAGAACACATATCTGCAACAAGCATATGTCCTAGTATTTCTGAAACTTCAGTTTCATTTTGCTCGCCATAACTGCAATGGAAATATCTGTATTTGATTCCAAAGTTTCTATTTTTCCTTTGACTTCCCATAGGACATGGAAACAGTGGTTTGCTGTTGGGTATAATGTACCAGAAACTACATTTGTAGCATCATAGAAGGGTTTGAACACATTGCAAAGTAGGTCTTCCATGTTCCAATCTGTATTAGAAGGCTCGTCCATGTAATTAGGATCTCGTGACTCCATAACATCAAAGATTGCCCTATACTCTATTGCAGACTTCAGCATTAAATAAGTTGAGTTCCATCGAGTTGGAACATCAAGAGACGGTCTCTTCTCATAGGATATACCTAGTTGTATAATGATTTCCTCGAAATGCTGTTTACGGGCTTGTGAGCTTCTAATGTACTTGACACTATCTCGAATGCGGTCAGTAGCACCATCTATCACCTTAAATCCCTCCTTGACAATAAGGTTCAACACATGCGCTACACAACGCATATTTAGTAGATCACCATTTCCAAGCATAAGGTGTCTTTCTGAAAGATTTTTCCTTAAGGAACCAACCATGTTGTTGTTGTTCTTTGCATTATCTAATGTGATGCTAAATACCTTGTGCTCTAACTTCCATTCTTGCAAACACTTCAATAATGCATTAAACAAAGTAAAACCATCATGAGGTGAAGCTACAAGAACAAAACCTATTATTCTCTTCTGCAACATCCAGTCATTATCAATGAAGTGGCAAGTAATGCACAAGTAACCTAGGTTTTGATTTGAAGTCCACAGATCAGCAGTTAGACAGACCATTGAATTTGAATTTTTGATAGTTTCGAAGGGCTAACCTTCGATCCTCATATGAGCTCATAATATCCTCAGCAACTGTAGTTCTAGACACTATGGTAAACCAAGGATTTAAGGTAGCAATAAATTTCTGAAATGGTGCATGGTCAACTAAACAAAAGGACAACTGCTGCAATACGATAAAGTTGACCATGGCTTTACGTGAGACCTCTTGGTCAAACTTCCAATTCTTTAGAGCTAGTGAATCAGGGGATAGTCCTGTGTTCATGCTTTCAACCAACTGGTTCATTCTAGTCCTTTCTTTGCACACTTTCAAATGCCTACAACAAGCACTTCTACCATTATCTCGAGTAGCAGACAAGAGCTCCAAACAATGAATACATTTAGCTTGTACTACTAGATTCCCCTCATAAATAGGCTCAAATTCTTTCCACACATCAGATCTAAGTTTACGTCTCTTAATTGGTCTTGATGCATCTATACAATAAGTATGTAAGTATTGATTAGTACAAGCATTTACTAAAGTATACATAATTAGTAACTAAAGGCATCTCATGCAGTAAGAAAATTCATCTAAAGGACCAGGACAGTAGAAACATGACCCTAACCAAGATAGAACAAATCAACAAAGTCAAGACAGCAAGAAAAATTTGAGACATAAACTGGTTGCTTCAATATGTAGGAAGTTAAATCTAACCTGGGCCAAGATCAGGAGAAATAACCATTCTTGTATCATCAGATGAAGACGAAGATGATGATCTTGCAGATAGTACTGGAGACTGGCTCATCCTTGGTGACTGTAGCATTCTATTAAGTACCAGAGATCTCACATAAAGGACACGTGAAGCAGATG